TTTCTTTCTTTCTTTCTTTCTTTCTTTCTTTCTTTCTTTCTTTCTTTTTTTTTTTTTGTAGTATTCTTACCTGGCTTTGGTATCAGGAGAATGCTTACTTCCTAAAACAGTTTGAGATCATTCCTTCCTATTCAATTTTTGGAAGCGTTTAAGTAGGATTGACATTAATTCCTGAGATGGAGCCCCATGTTGGGAACCCCTGCTCAGCGGGGAGCCTGCTTAAGGATTCTCCCTCTCCCTCTGCCCCTCCCCCGACTCGTGCTCTCTCTCTCTAAAATAAATAAATAGGGTGCCTGGGTGACTCAGTTAAGCGTCTACCTTTGGCTCAGGCCGTGATCCCAGGGTCCTGGGATTGAGTCCCGCATCGGCCTCCCTGCTCCGTGGAGAGTCTTCTTCTCCCTCTACGTCTCCCCACTGCTTGTGCTCTCTTTCTCTCTCTCATGCTCTTTCTCATGGTCTCTCTCTCTCAAATAAATAAAATCTTAAAAATATAATAAATCCTTTTTAAAAAAAATTTACATACAGAGGGGCGCCTGGGTGGCTCAGTCGTTAAGCGTCTGCCTTCGGCTCAGGTCATGATCCCCGGGTCCTGGGATCGAGCCCCACATCGGGCTCCGTGCTCGGTGGGAAGCCTGCTTCTCCCTCTCCCACTCTGCCTGCTTGTGTTCCTTCTCTCACTGTGTCTCTCTCTGTCAAATAAATAAATAAAATCTTAAAAAAAAAAAAATTTACACACAGAATCACCAAGTGAGATTTGTTCTGGGAATGCAAGGGTGAAACCTACCAGTGAATCAATAAAACAAAGGAAAACTACCCAATCATCTCAACTGGTACAGATAAAATTTTTGACAAAATCCAACCCCCTTTCATGATTAAAAAAAAACATTTAAAAACCCTGAGAATATAAGGGAACTTCCTAGACATGACAAAAGGAATTTATGAAAAATCCATAGCTAACATCATACTCAATGGCGAAAGACAGAAACCTTTCCCTCTAAGATCAGGAGAAAGAGTGCTCACTTTGAACACTGATTTTCAGCGCTGTACTAGAAGTTCCATGCAGAGCAGTCAGGCAAGAAAAACAGATAAAAGACGTCCACATCGGAAAGGAAAAAGCAAAACTATCTGTATTTGCAGGGGGATATGATCCTATATATAGAAACCCCCAAGGAATCCACAAAAGACTGCTAGAGCTAATAAATGAATTATGCAAAGTTTCGGGTTACAAGATCCACATGCCAAAATCAGTTGTTTTTCTGTACACCAGCAATGAACAATCTGAACATGAAATCAAGACAATTCCACTTACAATAGGATCAAAAAGAATAAAATGCTTAGAAATAAATTTAACCAAAAAGGTGTAAGAATTAAACATGAAAACTACGAAACATTGCTGAAAGAAATTGAAGAAGACCTAAATAAATGGAAAGACATCCCATTTAGGTTGTTGATCCATTTTGAGCCAATTTTTGTATATGGCGTTTGGTAAGGGTCCAACTTTATTATTTTGCGTGTGGATATCAGTTGTCCCAACACCATTTGTTGAAGGGACTATTCTTTCTCCACTGAGTGGTCTTGGCACTTCCATTAAAAATCAAATGGCTGTGGATGTATGGGTTTTCCATTAAAAATCAAATGGCTGTGGATGTATGGGTTTATTTCTGGACTCTCTGGATTGAAAGATTTAATTTTATGAAGGCAGCAGTACCACCCAAAGTGATCTAAAGATTCAAGGCAATACCTATAAAAATCCCAACTTTTTTTTTTTTTTCCAGAAATAGGAATGTCGATCTTTACATTCATGTGGAATTGCAAGGGGGATGATTAACCAAAAGAATTTTGAAAAAAAACGAAAAAAGTTGGAGGACACACACTTCCTGATTCCAAAACTTATTACAAAGCTACAGTAATCAAAACATTGTGGTACTGGCATTAGGATAGACATATAGACCAAAGGAATAGAATTGAGAGTCCAGATGGTGCCAGGAGGAGCACCAGAAGCTTCATCTATATGCTTCAGTCTCCTACTGCAAATGCTCTGCAAAGGGCAAGACATGGCAGGCACAGGCACAGCTCATTCTCCCCTAAATAGAAAAGAAACAACCTGAGGATCCAAATGCATTCGAGAGCCCTTCGTCCTTTTCCTTCTTTCGTTCTGAGCATCACATTCTAGTCATGGGGAGCATCCCTGACCTTTCCACGGGGGATGCCACAACGAAACTGGAAGAAATGAGCAGATAATAAAGTTGTTCAGATGGGGCGCCTGGGTGGCTCAGTTGGTTAAGCGACTGCCTTCGGCTCCGGTCATGATCCTGGGGTCCCTGGGATCGAGTCCCGCATCGGGCTCCCTGCTCAGCGGGGAGTCTGCTTCTCCCTCTGACCCTCCCCGCTCTCATGTGCTCTCTCTCCCTCTCTCTCTCATTCTCGCTCTCTTAAATAAATAAATAATAAATAAATAAATAAAATCTTAAAAAAAAGAAAAGTTGTTCAGATGGAGAAAAATGCAGAATGGGTATTATCGGCTATGTGGCTAGCAGAGACCTGAGGTAACAACAGAAAATGGAGCTGGAAAGGCTGAAAAAGCAAGAAAAAGTGGAGCAGAAAGAAGACGAAGATGATAAGAAAATGACAAGGAGTGTGAAGGTAAGGATGGCAATGATGATTATTTTGCTGAAAAAGGTGGTTTTGATAGAGTTGTTTTTTTTTTTTTTTTTTTTTTTTGGTCTCCAAAGAAGTTAACTCCTCCATTACCAATCTCATAACTTTTAAAGTTAAGAAAAGGAAATTGAAAGGAATACACCTAACCTAAGAGGCAAAGGACCTGTACTCAGGAAACTATAGAATACTCATGAAAGAAATTGAGGAAGACACAAAGAAATGGTAAAACATTCCATGCTCATGGATTGGAAGAACAAATATTGTTTTTTTTTTCTTTTTTCTTTTCAAGATTTTATTTATGTATCTGAGAGAGAGAGAATGAGAGATAGAGAGCATGAAAGGGAAGAGGGTCAGAGGGAGAAGGAGACTCCCCGCTGAGCACGGAGCCCGATGCGGGACTCGATCCCGGGACTCCAGGATCCTGACCTGAGCCGAAGGCAGTCGCTTAACCAACTGAGCCACCCAGGCACCCACTTTAAGAGACTTTTTTTTTTTTTTTTAAGTAGTTTCCTTTTTTTTTTTTTTTTTTTTGATTTTTAGATTTTATTTCTTGGACAGAGAGAGCACAAGCAGAGGGAGAGAGAGGGAGAAGCAGGCTCCCCGCTGAGCAAGGAGCCCAATGTGGGACTCGATCCCAGGACCCTGGGATCATGACCTGGGCCGAAGGCGGCAGCCGCTTAACTGAC